GAGTGCATTTCGTATAGTTGAGGGATCAAAAAAGTGCAAAAAATTGTTAAGGGACCAAAAATGTGCAACTCACTAAAGTTGAGGGACCAAATTTAGCATTTAACCCTTTTTTTCAACAAGCATTCAATGATTACAGCTTGGTTACTGAAGGATGTCTATTTCTTTTTTGAAAAGAAGTATAGTTGTATTAATAATTGAAAAACAATTATAATACAAACTATACCTTGTCATATAAACTAATTTAGAAAAAGAAAAGTTAGAAAGGACTTATGACATTAACATATAGAGCTAAGGAATTGGAAATCTCTACATATTTTTATATGTCAAAAGGGTATAATAGAGTTATGTAATGACATAGAAAGAATGAACTGGAGCTTTCTGACGTTATTGGCAATCACATCTATTGTACCACCCGACCTAGCATAGGAGATCAATGGACTTGGCGATGTAATGTCTTCTGGCACTACAATACTCTGTCCAACCAGAAGGACCCTTAACTGGCAGGCGGAGGGAAAGGATCTATTGGTGTATCCGTAACACTAGTCACCCCCGCTTGAAACCTTTGCTAGGAAAATATCTTTCCCACCAACCACAACTTTTGCAACCAGGAATCATATGGTTTCCATATCGATATCAAGGGAAGAAAGCCATCTGCATCCTCAGTAAGGTGAACCTAACTAAGCAATTTTTCAATTTTGCCACCTGCCATCCCCAAATCGCTAATGGAACTACCAAACCTCATCCCTCAATTCCACCACAACTCACACACAATCGTTCACTGTCATTGCAACATGCTAGGTCACAGATCTGAACCCAAATCTGAAAGCACTCTCCAGATTTGAACAAAAGGAGTCAAAATCGAGAGGAAAACACAAAGACGCAAGGGAAGGGCAAGCACGAGGAGAAAGACAAGCAATAGAGAAGAAAAAAAGGGGCTCCTATGTCAGATAGAAATCCCAAGGGAGAAGCTTATTGCCTCTTAAACCCTAGGGATTTCAAGGTATAGGAGAGAAAACCATTCAATTTCTCTATTTCTTCTAATTGTGATTTTGTTAATCATGAGACACAAAAAGTGGTAATTTTTTAATAAATTTTTTAATAAAAAAATGATTATTTCGTAATTAATCCCGTAATGGGGGAGACGAGGTGTGTTTTGTAGCCATGAATACCTCCACCAACCCCTGTCCCTTCTAGCTAGCACTACAAGAAAATCCACATTTAGTGACTAAATTATTGATCATTAAATTTTTATTTTTCGTCACAAATTATTATTAGTGATAAAATTTAAATCTTTAGTAAAACCCTTGTCACTAATGTTCTTAATGACAAATTAAGCACCTGTCACAAAAAATAATTTTATAGTGATAAAAAAAATTGATATTGTTAACAAGTTATTTATAACAATTTTATTCGTTACAAAAAAATGTTCGTTACAAATGCAATTATGATGCCAAATTTAGTTATTAATTATTAAAATTGATATTAAATAAAAACGATATTTATATAATTACAACACAAATATTTTAACAAAAATTTTGTCACAAAAAAATAATATATAAATTTATCACAAAAGTTTAATAAAAAAT